CCTACAGTAGAGGGAAAAATTGATAGGATGTCTGGCAGAAGTTCACATGCAAACTCCACTGGATGTCTAAGGAAAGAAGAGGAAGGGGAGTGAAATCCTACATAAAAGTGCTGGTCTTAATTCAGCTCCTTTTGTGAGTCCAACCTCTTTTTTTATTATTATTACTTTATTCACCTCAGTTTGTGATGGAATGGATTGGACCCGCCCCATTCCTGCCGTACAACATTCCTGTGATTGGAAGATTTTTGTGTTACTAGCGGGTGACATGCAGAACAGGAAGGGTGGCAAAGCTGGAGGAATCAGCCAATCCCTTTGCTTACTACGTGTTGCACATGCAAAATGAGGACAGTGTCATTCAGCAGCAAGTCACCATAGAGGCAGCAGGAGCAGAATATGGATCAGTCATTAAAGTAACTATTTTCACCCTAGTGGTGTTCTGCCAACCCAATGATGGTTAGAGACACTTTAATTCAACAGTGGGGTAAGGCCCTTACCTTAAACATTAGGTAGAGCTTCCTTACAGTATGACTCTCTTTATAAGTTGTGAGTTCTCCTTCATTAAAGGTATTTAGCTAATTATCAGGGGATTAGGCTAGATAAATCTCTTCCAGTACTGCAGCTTGAATCCAGTTGGTTTCAGTGGGACTTAAGGATGGGCAGATCATGTGTTACATGGAGCACTTAGATTTTGATTTTTAATTAAAATACTGAGATCCATCAGCCCACAGCCCCCCAGCTTTGGGTTGGGGTAGAATACTCCGAATGTTGAAAGTGTGTTGTGGGCATTCTCCTCAAATGGCTGCCATGGGGGACAATTTGTCCAGGTACAGCACGGCTGCCGCGGTGGCCGTGACCAGTTCCTAAACCCCCACTAGAAAGCAAATTGTGGAGATGCCTTTGATTACCTTGCAGCCTGAACTTGGGGATGGGAAATATTTTGAGGATGGATGTGGGGTATCCTTAACATTTTGTGGGGTGCTGAAAGCAAACTGAGTTCTGATTTTTCTTTACTTGGATTTTGGGAGGGAATTTGGTGGGGTGGATAAGTTGTCTTGGTTTTATACATTACGTTAAGTCTATTTTGCAGCTTGTATTAATTTTGTGTGCATGTTTCCCACCCCAAAATGGCAAGAATCTATGCCACCAAGTCTTGGCAATGGTGTCAGAGGCAGCTCCTGGAGTTATAAAAATGTTCAGGAGCCGAATGCAGCCTTGGGGCCCTAAGATGGACTGTTCCTGTGATAAATGTACCCTGCAATGCCTGTGAGTTTCCCATTTTCCAACTGTAATCCAGTTAACCTGCATCATGACTGTTTCTTCTTCTTTAGAAGCCTAGCATTCTGGCTGCCAGCCCACCCGATTAGATCTTCTCTGCTCTGATTACTTTGCTGTGTTTAAGTCTGTGCCAGCTTTGGTGAAAGTGATTTGATTTCCTAACATGTTGGTCTTAATGAAAATAGGACACACAGAAACAATCTCTTTATTGCCAGCTGGATGATAATCCCAAGAGACCCAGGACCCAAAGGTAAAGACTAAATATAATGCAGGGGAGGCCCAGAATTGGCTGGACAGTGATGCCTACCCATAGAGTAAAAAAAAAAAAAAGTGTACTGGGGAGAATCATAAATTAATATATCGGTTTTTAGACTGATATATTGGCCAGTCTATCCATTCTTGTTTATATACTGATCTATCCTCCCAACTCTTGAGCTGTAAGACAAATATTCCCTACTCTGTCCCAGTATTCATTCTCCATATTGACCTGCCTTCCTATACACTCAGGCTTGCCTCCACTCTAAACAAGAGCTGATGTTTCTGATGTGGGAAAATGACAGTCAAAAGGAAAAATACAAATGGCAATTATGCTTGTGTAAATTTGCTGTAAATCTGAACATCAGACTATAATAATGTTTTCCGCCTCCAAATGCTGTTTTTTTGGAAATCTTTCCCTTGTGAAATAATAATCCCTCTGTGTCACTGATCAGCCCAGTTCACTGGTGGGTCTTCTGCTAATCTGTCTCCCATGACCTTGATCCTATCCACTGGTCCCCATTCTTTTCCTCCTTCTCTCTTCCCTCCATTCCTTCTCCTTCCCTGCCATCTTCTCTCCCTCCTTTGGTCCACTCCAACACCTTTGACCCAGCTGCTCCCTCATCTCGGCGTCCCATTTTCCATCCTTTTCAAGGAGCCGGCTGATTGAAAGCGGAAGAAAAAGAGCTCTGTGACGCTCTGTCTTTCCTTCCTCTGTCCTTTATTAGATGCTAATCCCTCAAACTTGGCACCAGTACCCCCTTGGCACTAATGAAGGGTTGTTTTTTTCTTTTAATCAGCTGCTGCTCCACTTCTCTGCCTGATTCCTGTCCCCCGGGGACTGTGTCGCACTGGAGGGTGCCGTAGCTCTTCACCGCCTGCTCATTTATCACCCTGCTTATGTCTCCAGTCAGCCCAGCCGGTGTAGAGAGATTATTCCTACTGTGCAGCGACCGAGAAACGCTTTTTACAAGGTGCAGGGTGAACTCCTGGGAGTTGCTCTTTGCATCTGTCTCTCTGCTGAAGATCCTTGCATCTTGTGTATTAGCATCAGCTAACTACTTTTTTTTTTTTTTTTTTTTAAGGAGATAGACCTTCAGTCCACTGTTTGAGTGATGGTCCAGGAGTGATTTGGTCAAATGTTCCAGGATTGGTCTTCATCCATCAGCAAAACCGAGGGATCTCGAATAATACCCATGACACTTATGTTTGTGATCACTTCTTAAGCAGCCTTCTGTTGGATCTGTTAGGCAACGAAGGAAAGGGAGTCAACATTTCCTGAATTTTGAGCATCCAGTATTTTCTTCTAATGGGGATATTTGTGACTGATAGTTCAAGTGGCATTGTTAGCTGTTGTTAATGGATGATATTTTGGACTCTTTGCAATCCAGTCTTTCAGCTCCCCAAGTGACAAAGGGCCTGATCCACTTGGTACAAATTGCTTCTTTTTTGGGTTGTGAACTGCTGGATCTTTCTGACAGTGTACCACTCCTTCAGATACAGATTTTCTCTGCATTTGTTTCCGTTATTCTTCAGCACGAACGCTGGATTTTTGACATTCCTTCTGGGCAACAGTTTAAACTGGCAGAACTCCAAAGATTTGACACAGCACGCTGCATGCTTATGGCTCGTAATTGTGATGAATAATTAGAAGAAGAAGAAGAAGAGTTTGCAACCTTGGGGGAGAGAATAGCCATTCTTTTTTTCTTTTTTTTTAAGGGAGCTGCTATGGGTTTGAGAAAGACAATTGCTTCATTCTGGAGAGGAAGTGGACTGAGAAATCATTCTTAAAGTAGGATCAACAAGGCATCTTGTAACCTGTTTCATCCGAAAGAGAGGCAGCTTTGTGGGTTCAGGGGCCAAGAAACTCACTTGGTTCAGACAGGCTGCATCCAAAGATCCAGTCTTGAATAGAATTAGTAAGCCTCATGGGCACAACAGAGTTGCTGGAAAGCAAGTTGTGGGAGATTTCAGAAAGTGGGGGGAGGTTTTTGAAATGAGCAGAAGTTCCTAGTAACCTAAGTTTGGCTTCTTCACCATAAGGCACAATAAACTGTGGGGTGCTTAGGAAGCTAAGTCTTATGAGTTGGAGTTTTTTTAGAGTCTTGGGTTCCCACCAATATCTGGTATCACTTTAGTGCTTGCCTAGTTCCCATACTGCTACTCTAGAGATGAAAAAGGGATGTGGTGTGAGATGCATTGACATGGAAGAGTTGCCAGTCATCCACCTTGAAGAGTGTTAGCTGTTGACCAGGGCTCTCCATGATAGGATTTTAGAGTCAGGTAAGGCCCCTGGAAGTTTCTAGGACCTTTTGTAATAGCAGAAGATAAACATTGCAGTCCTATGGACTGTAAGACAGTGCCACCATCCAGTAAGCTCATCTCTGAAATCTAAGAGGGAGATTTTTCACTCTTTAAAACAATTTCAACCCTTCACAACTGTATTGGTGGCAGAAGGTGGTGGTGGAAGGTTGGAAAAAGATGACAGTAATTGGGAGAGCTTCCTCAGCTCTTCAAAAGAGGCTTTGCTAGTTACAGAAAATAGATGAAAAGCGTCCGAAATGATGTGTACATTCTTTGACATGCTGAAAGACTTTTAGCATTGGCTTTAAATTCATTGATGGCCTTTCAGTGTTAGAAAGGATTTAGGATTTTAATTAGGAAGACAGGCAAGTTGTCTCTGCTTTTTAACAAGATTGAAAGATTTTGTTCTTATTAATGGAGGAGTAAATAGGAAGAAAAGGTTAGTCAAGAGGAAGATAAAAAAAGAAAATCTTTAAAAAATCTTTTTAAAGTATTCAGCACACACCATCTATCTTGCTGATGATATCCACAAACCTTGAGTCATAACATAGAGAAGCTATATGAGGCTTTTTTTCTGCCAAGCACAGAATTTTGTCACCTTCCATTTATAACCCATTTCCCTCCATTATCCATCCCATCTTTTTTACCACAGACACATACATACCCAAAAATCTATTAAGGAGTGAAGGATTGGTATCTTTGCTCTGTCACATTAGGAGCTGTCATGGGGAACATCTAGGATTGATGGCACCAATCCCTTTATTTGATCATTCAACCTCATTTACCCCCCCCCCCGGCCCCTGGGAATGTAAGTGCAAACCACATTTTCCCTCTGATCCTAAATCCCACTTGTTCACTGGAAAACTTTGGCTCCTGCTCCTTACATCCTTGAGTAATCAGATCTAACTTCAAGTTTTTATATGCTTCTTTCTCTTTAGGATGATTGCTTTGTTGGGCATAGCCCACTCTTTGGTAATAAAAATGAGAGACTCATGAAAATTGGAGAAGCAATTTTCTTATTCTTTGCCACCAGAACTTTGGGCAGAATTATTCACTAAATCAAGAAGATGCCAGACTGATCTGCTACTTAGGGCGACTTGAACAGTTGGGTTTGATTTCAAGAAGCAACCTTGTCTGTTCTCTGAAGCTCTTGGGAAATTGTGACGATGATTCAGTTAAGCCGAAGAGTTCGCTCAATGCTTTCCTTGGGTCTCAACTGTCTTGCCCTCTGCTTTTCTGTGTCAGCTTTCAGCACCAGCTATTGGTGTGAAGGGACCCACAAAGTGGTGAAATCACCTTGCCTTTCAGTGGTCAAGAAGGGGAACTGTGTGCCCATCAACAGCAACGAGACTATGGATGGGAATGTGACCGTGAACCCCCACACAGTCCAGTACATCTGGGAAACGGGTGAAGACAAGTATGCTTTTCAGTATTTCCACACGGGTTTCTGGCTGTCATGTGAAGAACATCATGGAGGTATTAAAGAGGGCCACATCTCTGGGCAGTTGATTCCATGATTATATTTGTAATTCATGACATTCATGTCTTCATGCAGTGAGCTTCTAAGAAGGAAGTGGGGGAAGAGAATTGGCTAGATAGCAATGGAGATCATGTAGTGGAGAACCTCAAGGGGCCATAAAGGACCTTAACAAGCAGATGTTTATAAGAAGGGCCAACAAACAAGTAGAAGCACAAAGCTTTTTCCCACCCATACCTTCTTACCTCTTTCTCCTTTCCTTTTTCTGTGATCCCCTTTATAAATTACTGGTGACAGAGACCTATCCTATCCTGAGTGATGCAGTATAACCAGCAATAATGGCATTCTTAATAATGAGTGATAATGAATGGCAGAGTAGAAAGTGAAATCTTAGTTTTCATATCCTCAGAAACCCTGGCGAGACCTTTGAGCCAACTTATCTCACAAGGTTATTCTTTCTCAATCTGATAACCTCCAAGGATTGTTGGAATATAAAATGGGAAGTGGGGAGAAACTTGTAAGACAACCTGAGCTTTTTGGAGGGAGGATGGAATAAATGCAATATATAATTATAAAACTCTAATTGGCTACATCCAGGATTTGTTCAGTGTGTCGCTGGAATCAGGGTACTGTGGTTTCTTCTCTGAACAAGACAGGGAAAGATGTCACCTTGGCCCTCAGCACGCTTCATCCTGCGTGTGAAAATTGGAGGTGTTTTTTTTCACCCTGAGCCTGTCCCCCTCTGCAAGACTTTTTGTACTTTTGTAAATTTTGGCATGTTCCAAGGCATCTGATCTCTCCCTCCTCTACCTCAGAGCACAGCCAGGCAGCTGTGATAAAAAGTGCTTTCCTCAAGTCTGTGAGCTGGGGAGAAAAGGATGCCAGCATGAATTGTGTTCTCCGCATTGCCAGTCCTTATTCTGCCTCCTTAGGAGATGTTGTTCTCACTGTTTTAATGTGGGGTGAGTTAAAGTCAGTGATTAGTGGATGCACCCTGGCCACCAATACTGGATAACGGTGGTTCAGGCTGATCCATCTTTCCAAGTGGAAAGAAACAGATGCTAATATTGTCCAAATTAGAAACACCTTGGAACACAGTGTCCAAGGACCAGAGGGGAAGTGACATGTCTGTATCAGCTTAAGTGGCCAAGAGGTGCTGAGCTGATTCCAACCCCAAGGGGTCACCTGCCTGTGCTCTGAACAGAATGGCTCGTGAAGTGTGTCAGATTGCATCCACAGCAAAACTTGTGTTGTGATAAGGGGGAAAAGAGCCATCTGTCAGCCCTTCGAGGTAGACCAGACGTGAACACTAAAGTCATGAATACGAAAACTACTTTTGTTATCAGGTTACAGTAACAGAATCTTGCAACTCTGAATGTGCCTCCCCTCTCCCTGCCTTTATCCTAAAGAGAACTAGGGAGGGTCAAGTCTAAGGTGCTTTCTCAAATTACATTCCTGCTTTGGACTCAGATTTCCCTTATCTGACCATTGCTTTGGCTGCGGCTCTTCCTCCTGTTCCTCAAGGGTATTCTCACATCCCATTATACCATCTCACATGAGGACAAACAGAAAAAAGAGGTTGTCTGTTAGATGCATGACATGAAAGGCTCTGTACCAAAGTATCATCCTCTTTCACTCCCTCCATTCCCCATCCCCCAAATCTAGGGCTTTCCTTCAAAATCATTCTAAAGTAGGAATGGGAAAATTGTGCTCCCATTTGGATATTGCTGAAGTACAATTTCTGAAAACCTCATTCAATGCAAAAATAACTTCTAAAGTACCACAGAATCTCTATATCCTTTGTTTAATTTACACAAAATAACTACATAGTTTGGAAGAGAGAGGCTGTGTTTGCATAGCACACTGAACCACAACTAGCCAATAACATTTTACCCTAGCATGTTGAATAAACCTGGCAGTTTCATGGCTCACTGTGTTGTAGACACTCAGAAAACTTAGTTGATTAAACTGTAGTTAAATTAGCTGTGAATAAGCATGTTCAGAATCTCTGACAGTAGCCAAAGTCAAATCCAGTTTTAAGGGAGGAACTAGACCCTGACCTCTACTTTATTGGGGAATTCCTTGGAAAGGAACAGAAGTCTTTGAGCAATGTCAGAAGCTGGGTTTACTCACTAGCTTGACTTCTCAGCACAGCTCCCAATGTAGTTTCCTTCAGGGCATTGTGAAAAATGTAGACAGCACCACAATCTCCCAATAATTATAAGCGGGGCCAGCAACTGGACAAGGTTACCAGACATGTGTGAATCAGAGTACACTCAGAATTTAGAGTGCAGTCAGAGAAATGGAGAGATTTAAACTTCCAAATAACTTTAAAAGTCGTGGTTTAACTCTTCCTCAACCCAGTTGCCCTCCAGAACTTCAACTTCCAGACCCTCCAGCTTGACTTTGCTGGGTAGGGATTCTGGGAGTCACAGTCCAATGTATTTGGAGGGCTTTTGATTGGCGAAGGTGAGGAATATTGCAGATGAGAAATAACAGTATTTGGACTCCTTTCTTTGGTCATTTGCTGTATTTCTTTGTTTTCTCAACCTGGTGCACTTTCTTGTTCAGGTCAGCTCAGATCTACCTACCACTTCAGAAACCACTACGTTTGACTAGTCAGCAGAAATGGAAACATCCCCTTTTCCTGGGGGCTGGGGAGGGCAGGAATAACAAATGTTGGCATGAAGTCATTGTCATGTTCGGCATCAGCTTTGACTAAACTGTCATTGTGTTCTTTCACTGTTCCCCCCACGCCAGAGGAGAAGTGTCGGAGTTTCATTGAGCTGCCTCCAGAGTCAGAAAAAGGTGAGAATTTGGATGGCAAAACAGGTCGACTCAAACAAGTGCAAAATGAGTGGGAAGCAACTCTGTAAGTACTGTAAAGCTATTTTTCTGAGACAAAGTTTTAGCTCATCCAGGGTGGTCTTCTCAAAGGGACGGAATTGTCTCTTTGTCACAAGACATTGTCACAAAAGTCTTCTTTCCCACCCTGCAGGGCCAGTCCAAATCACTTGGTTGTGTCATTCCTCTTCCCCAACTGAGCTTTTGAATCTTATAAGGACTGGCAGTAAGAAAGCTTCTGGCGGTCTCTTGGAGTAACAGAATAATTTAATGGGTGCAATCATCTCCTTTCCTGGTGCCAAAGCAGCTTCGCCTCCTTCTTCCCCACAACCCCACTTCCTTTCTTTTTTTTGCAGGGGTGCTGTGGCTCTCCGTTGCTTCAGAATTTCTTTATATCATCCTGTTGAGTATTGGATTCTTGCTGATGTGTTTAGATGCTGTCTACTATGCCAACTTCATTGATGGTCTCAAGATCAATGCTTTTGCAGCTGTGATTACTGTTCTGTCAGGTATCTCCACTTGCCTTCTCCAGAAACATCTTAGAGCCCCTACAAAGGTGGTGTTGATGTAGAGCAGGGTTTCCCAACCTTGGTCATTTTCAAATGGGTAGAATTCAACTCCCAGAATTCTAAGCAATGTGGCCATGCTGAGTAGGGAATCCTGGGAATTGAAATCTGCATGTCTGGAAGGGTCCAAAGTTAGGAAACACTGATCTAGAGGTTCAAGCAAAACAGCCCAAACAGTTTAGACTATCAAGTCTGAAGTCTGCCTGCCTTGATTTATCCTAGCCCAGGCTGTGGGGTGCAGGCGGCACCTCTAAGCATTGGATCTTCCTGCCGAAGCTTCCCACTGAATTTATAGCGACAATAGGATAAAAGAGAGAAATCATGAAAAATATGGCAATCCAATGTATTTAATTACATTTGAAGTCACTGAAATCATGTCTGGTTTTTATCAAGCTTGTGCCAGCTTTTTTATCCTGACACAGGCAACATTTTGTTGCTCAAGGAACCCTGGCATGCAACTCAGAAGCCAGGGGCCTCCTTGGCTGAGTCTAGTTATGCACCACTATCTTAGCTCCTTTAGATACTGCTGGTCTCATTGCCCAACCCAGCCTTCCCAGAGGCTGATTGAGAACTCTGGAATTTTGCAGTCCTGGCACATCTACGGTCTTGACATCCAACCCCACACATAGGTTGCCCTGTCCCATCAACAATTGAGGAAGGCCTAATTAGTTAGATCTTATTTTCCAATTGGAAAGCAACTGAGATGCGGAAAATAGATGATAGATGATAGATGATTGATAGATGATAGATGATTGATAGATAGATAGATAGATAGATAGATAGATAGCGATAGATAGATAGATAGATAGATAGATAGATAGATAGATAGATAGAGGATTTATACTTTGATAGATTTATATAGGATAACCCAGAGTAACCACTGCCATTTTCTGTGTGAAAATTGGTGGTCTGTTTCATTGTCATAGGCAAAAATGTGAAATCTTGAAGCTAGTAGGCAGATTGGGCTACCCATTTGACCCAATTTATACATGAGGTTGACCCAGTTTATACTTTCAGCCAAAAAAGGGGTGTCATATCCATATTAATATTAAATATATTAATATTTCATGAATGATAGCAAATCACTCCAGGAAAACTACATGGGTATGTTCATGGGGTCACCAGGAGTTAGTCTTAAAACAAAAACTCTTGACTTTACCTTTTGATAATCCAAACAACCAGAGTAGAGCATGTGAGCAACATGTTAAAAGCAGCCAATTTCTAAAAGAGCAACCTGATGTCATGAGCAGGGGATTTTAAAAAAGATTAAGTTAAATAATGAAAAATCTTAATATATTCCCATCATTCCTTCCCCGCTCTACACATACCCTTTTATGGAGTATGTACTGGGGTGAACCTTACCCTTAGATTTTGTTGAATCTGTCCACAGCATGCATGTGTATGTGTGTGGGTGTGTATGCTTGCCCACTTGGGCTGTTTGCTATAGAGAGCACTTCCAGGGTGTAGGAGAATAATGGCTGAGTGGGCTTATTGACCTCCTTTTCTCCACAGGTCTCCTGGGCATGGTGGCCCACATGATGTACATGACTGTCTTTCAGGTGGCTGTAAATCTGGGGCCAAAAGATTGGAGGCCCCAGACGTGGTATTACGGGTGGTCCTTTGGGTGAGTAGCCAGCTTTGGGGAGAGTGGGACTGGGAGGAACTTTCCACTTCAGAGTTTGCCACCTTGTCTTGTGATTCTTTGGACCAAGTCAAGATGGAAGAAAAGAGAGGACTTGATAAGAGTAGAAAAAGGGAGAAGGAAGAGATTCAGAGGTGGCCAAGAATAATTAGATGATCAAAGAGGTGGCTGATAGTGAATTCCTGTGATAAAGGGCATGAGATTTTGATCTACCAAAATGTATAGTCTGTTCCTTTTTTATGACAATAACACAGTGGATGGTAAGACAAAGAGCATAAATGTGCATCGGTAAGAAAAACAAATATAAAAAGTTGAATCTCAAGAGATATTTTATAGAAAGCTGTCTAATATCCCAAGACACTTGGTTTTCCTAGTTGTAAAACTAGCAAAAGACAGCCATGAAAAAGAAGAATGGATCTGAAACACTGAGCTGTGGATATCTATGTGGCAGAGGGTTCAAAATAGTCAAGATGGTGGCCATGACAGAATGATTGAATCCCCACCCCTTTCCCATGTGCTATGCATGTGCTGCATATAAGAAAAGGGTGTGGCTTTAATTGCCCACTCACAGGTGTTATCTTGACTGGCTCAGATACCCCTGCACTGAGCATATTTAAGATTTAAGGACCAACCCTGCTGTTTTTACTTATAATAAGAGAGATGTTTATCCTGGCTTTAATACTGAGATTCTGGAGATGAGGTAGCTTTATAGATAAATGAAGCAGTGTGTCTGAGTGGGTGGATAAATGTTTGGGACTGATGGTGGACAATTGAAGAAGAGATCAGTGTTCCACTGGCAAAGAGATTCAAGTCTTGACCTGTCCTCTTTTGCTTACCTTTCCCTACAGCTTGGCTTGGCTCTCTTTCACTCTCTGCATGTCAGCCTCTGTGCTGACCCTCAACACTTACACCAAGACTATTCTGGAGTTCAAGTACCGTCAGCAGATTTTTGAGAAACACACAGCATCAACGGGGAGCGTCCGAGGTCCCAGCTCACCAGCGCTGGCCCCTGACCTGGAGCGTTTTCTATGGGATAAATATATCTTCAGTGTCAGTGACTCCCTAGACTTCTCCCCAAGCCCACCAGGGCCCTTAGCTCCCAGTGGGGGCCGAAAGGACTATATGGGAGGATATGCTGGCCTCACAGGGACTCACAATGAAGGTGCCAGAGATGAAGATGATGGGGAAGCCTGCTGAAGAGAGGAAGTTGTGTAGAAAAACAGACCCTTCTCCACCACTTCTCTTCTGCCCTCCTCCCTCCCTCATGTACCTAGTTATAATAATGTTCTCTTCCGTCTCCTGTTGAAGCTCTCAGTAACTTCCACAGCTCAGAGACAAGCTGATTATTGAGGACCTTGGGACAGTTCTGCAGATTTAAACGGACAAGAGTGCCAGAGCCAGGGGCTCAGTCTCCCTGTCAGATGAGTAGCAGACCATAAAGGAAGCTTCATCAATTCAGGATCTGATGGGTAATGAATGTTCCTGTGTGGAGGCAACTTTGCTGCAGAGACCACTTAACAAATGGATTTTGGAGACAAACCTTCCTGACTGATCTTAGACACTGAGCTACAATAAGCTTTGCATAAATAAAATGGAGCTGTCTTACCAACCAGTTAAGTTTTGACAGAGCTTTTGCCTGATTCCTGAAAGCTGACAGCTCATTTGGACAAGTGCCATTTGACTTTTCTGCTCCAGATATCAGAAGGTCTCAGTTTGTCCTTGTATCCTCTGCAATATTATTTCTCTGCCTGTTGGCCAAAAGATTTTCAGCTCATCAAGAGATGATAGAAAATAACTAATGGAATAGCTCATTACGCTGTAACCATTAATTAGGTCATTAACCTCACCAGCAACTACCTGTAAAAGAAAGTTTAAGAAACCATCCGAGCATTGATTGGAATCAAAATGCCCATATTATTATCATTTCCACTCTCATTTCTAAAAGTTCGCTTAGAAACCAGTCTTAATGAAGTCATACGTATTTTTCTGGAGAGATCTTTCCAAAGTTGTAGGGAGACCATTGAAAAAATATAACCCCAGTCCTCTCCAGTCAGAAAGGATCATGAGGTATCTCTCCCCATACCCTGCCCCTCAGCTGTACCATGCAATTATCTGTTGGAACATCACAGACCAGGGCTGCTGTGGACCTTTAGAGTCTTCATTTCTCTTTTGGCTTCTGGGGGCCAAAGCCCCTTGGAAATAATCGCAATGGCTTTCTTTTGATCTTCTTACTTAGATATTGGGGCATTCATTTATGTTGATGGATACAGTAGACCTCAGGGGAAGTAGACCCCTGATAGACCTCCTTCTGTTTGGTGTATCTCAACCTTTTGTGAAAAGACCCCCATTTATCCAAGATGAGTTGGCCTGTATGATGGCTAGTATATTTTCATCTTTCGAGCTCCTCTCCAACAACGCAGGAGTGGTTCAAGTGGGTGTGAAAAGGCAATGCTTAGTCCTTACCCTCATTATACCCCAGCATCTCAGACCAAAGGCCATCCCTTCTACTTTCTCCCAGTTGGAGGCTGGTTCAGTTGCATAACAGGGGGACTCCCACACCACTTAATTCCACTTCACACCTTGCCATCACTACAGGTTTGAGGAGTGTTTTGAGCAAAAACAGTAATCTGGGCACCTTGGAGAATGTGTGCGCCAAAATTAAGCTCTCACTGTTGTAGAAATACTTTCATGAGATGTGAAACTCTGCTATCAAAAGGAGCTCAGGTATCTTTAGTTACATGGTGTGTGCACAGTAAGGTTGTTTGAGTAGTTGAGTAGGTGTAGCTTACCCCAGTTATTCCAAGTAATGACTTAGTCATTTGAATCAGACATTTTGCCCTGCAATCTCTCTCCTCCCCACCCCTTTTTTCCCATGCAACACTGCTTCTGCTCTCTTTGCTTGGCCCCAACAGCAGGGCTCCCTCCCTCTCCCCTCATATCCTTGCCCTTACCCCAAACCCATTTGTAACTGTCTGGTTAATCTCATCTGCTTTAGCATCATGCAATTTTCCCATCTGCAGGGAATAAGGGAAGAGCAAGAGTCATTAATTTCTGGTTGATTAAAGAAATTAAGGAATTAATCAGTGTCAGTCTGCTTCATTTCATAAGGGGGTGGGGAAGGGGGGAGGAATATCCCAGCTGCTCCTCATTTCTCAGCCAAAGAAAAAAAGCAGGCAGGGGGATTAAAAGTATGAAGCCCACCACAGCAGCTCAAGATTCCCTGAGAGATTCTTGTGTAACTCCTCATAGGTGGGCAAGGGGGATTGATTTCTAATTGTCTTAATAGGAACCATTTCAAAACTTCTGTCTTCCTCCTCATAAATTACACTGTTGAGAAAGAACACTTGAAGAGAATCTAGGAATGGAACTTCTGTTCCTAGGAACAGAAGTGTAGAATAACTTGATAACTTTAGTTCTAATTTTAAAATATCCTCTCCTGGGGAACCCTGTCCTCAGAGGAATCTTGCCCCTCAACTCTTGCTCTGTTGTAATTTTGAGCTGTAATTGGTGCACCTTAAGTGATCTAATACAGAGTCAATCTTGAAGTCTGCCCATCCCTGAGAATTCAACAAAATCTGGGGGGCCAGAGGTTCCCTACTCTTAACCCTAACAATTTGGGTTGGAAGAGAGAGGCCCAAATTCCAGAGTGGGCCTAGTTCTTGCTTAATTCAAGCATTACCTTTAAAAGTTTGGAAGGAAAGATTGTCATCTAAGGTCTTGTAGAGCTATTCCTAGAGAAACATTGGGCCATGGCCAGCCCCTGAAAAGACTACTGTATTGAAGAATAATGGCATATTGTAGTAAATTGCATCTCAACAGGTACAGCTTATATGAGATTGTCTCTTCTATCCAAATCCAAGGGCCACTCACCAGACTGGTTGGTCTTCAGGTCCTGTTATCTTCGGGTAGTACAGCCTTTATCTATTTAGCCTTCAAGTCAATGTTGACTTCTGGACTAATCCATGCAGTTTTCTTGGGAAGATTTTCGGAAGTGTTTGCCCTTGCCTTCTTCTTCCTAGGGCTGAGCAAGAGTGACTGGCCCAAAGTCACCCAGTTGGATTTGTGTCTGAGGTGGGACTAGACTTTATGGTCTCCCAGTTTCTAGCCTGGGTCCTTAACTGGCTGTCAGTACAGCCACTGGAAGGAAGTGAATCTTAAAGGAAGAGGAAGCATCTTGGCCACACTCTGGCCCAAGCATCCATAGAAGCGAGTGCCTAAAGATAATGGACAACTCCTCTCCTATTTGAACAGTGGCCCATCTGTAAGGCATCCAGTTCTGGGATTCAGGGAAGAGCTATCCAACAAGCAGATAGACAAAAACAGGTGTTTCACCCCAAGCAGACAGTCCTTTGCTTTTAGGTAAGCAAATACAACTTATAAGGGCCTGATGCAAGACACCAGTAGAAGATCAACTGGAGAGGTCAAAATAAAGTTGGAGGACTTCTGTGTGAAGGGTCTCATAAGCAGTCCATCCCGCAACCTGGAGGCGCCCAGAGCAGCAGAAGCATGCTATCAGAGATAGGGATTGGGGGAAAGGATTGCCTTTTTTTTTTTTAAAGATACTTTTATTTAGTCACCCTCTGGGGGAGATGGGTAGCATATAAATTTAATAAATAAATAAATAAATAAATAGAATAATGAAATGCAAAGGAAAAAAAATGTCTACATTGAATACTAACAGTTGAATAACACAAAAAGAAGCAACTTCTAAGCATAAATAAAACAAACAAAAAGATTATGGGAAAACTTTCTAGTTACACATTCTTCCCTTCTCAGCCATTTATTTCCCCAACTGCTGACCACAACCTAGACATTTAAACTCTACATTAAATATTAAAGATTATTGCTGGTATCTGTTGAAATCCTTTCATCCATTATTTTTGAGTGGTCTCGTAACTTTCTTCCTAAAACTCATATTCCAAATGTCTAAATTTGCCCTGCTGTGTATTGTGTAGTATATATGGGAGCCATTCTCACTTACATTTTGTTAGACTTCTATTACGGATATACTACATCCTGTCAATTTTGCCATTGCTGCATTTTCTCCAATTTTGGTCACCCAGTTTGATAACGTCAGCAAAATTCTTCTTTTCCAATGTTGTGTCAGATTTGTTCTTGCAACTGTCAGCATGAATCATAGTAAATTGAGATATTTTTCATTTATATTTTCAGGAATTATACCTAATAAGAATATTCAAATTTTGTTTTAGGATTTTCTGAATATTTGGATGTATTTCATTCCAATACTTTTGTGGGGGGGGGGGGGGTTCACATAGCCATCACATATGATCATATGTTCCTTCTTGGTTATGGCATTTCCAACTTTTATTGTTACAGTATATGATTTGTCTATCTTGGTAATTATTGACAGAGTTATATACCATCTGTAAAACATTTTACACCGATTTTCTCTTATACCCCATAACTTGGGGTAAATTGTATTGATTTTTCCCCATTGTTGTACTGTGATTGTTTCTTTGCATTCACTCTATCATACAATTTTTATTTGTTCCATTTCCATGTCATATTTCAATAACAATTTATATATATGTCCTAATGGGTGATTTTGGTTTAGTGTAAGTCTTTCAAATTCTGTCATCTTTTTCAAAGCGCCTCCTTTCTTGAGATCACTTGTTATCTTCTAGCAATTTGTAAATATATCAGCCATGGTAAATTCCTACCTTCATTAAGCAGTTCTTGGTGTCTTTAACCTATTCCCGAACCTGGATGCACCATAGTGGCATAAGTGATTAAATCTTAAATTAAAGTATTAAATTAAATACCGTATTTTTCCATCAATAAGACGCCCCCATGTACAAGACGACCCCCACTTTTCC